CATGGCAGGAAAGCCCCCCTACCCCACTCAGCCCCCCTTCCCGGGCTTCCCCACACAGCCCCAGCCCCCGGTGCCCCCTCGGCCTCCGTACCCCACTGGGCCCACGCCTCCCTATGGGTTCCCCTCGCCCTCAGGGCCCACCTGGCCGGGCTACTAGGTGCCCTCCTGGCACAGAGACTGAGGGGTGGGCAGGAGTGGCGTGGGCTCTGTGGATGTGGCCTTGGCAGTGTGGCAGTGGCACAGCAGCCGGGACGGCTCCTTCAGAGCTTGCTGCGGATGCCGCCCGGGTGTGTGCGTAAGCCGGCGAGGTACACACCGCCTGTGCCTGTTGCCGTGCCTGTGCCAGGGATGTGGCCAGGCCAGGCTGGGTCAGGAGAGCAACATCTTTCCTGCAGAGCCATACTTAACCCGACGGGCTACTGTCGGGCTGATTCCATGCTGGGCTGGCACGCAAGCCCCACGACGGTCGCCTGGGCTCTGGCTGATGGATGAGCCAGGAAGCCTCGGTGGGGTGCTGGGCCCGGCCTGCACCCCGCCCATCCTTTTGTGCCTTGATCCCCTGCGGCCTGCCACCCTGTGTAGCCTCCCGACCCCGACCCAGACAGATGTCCCCACAGTGCCCTCTTCCGAGTGTCGCAGCAGCCACGCTCGCTCAGGACCAGTGAGGCAGAAGCAAGGGTGCCCGGGTGGCTGCAGCGTGTGGGCTGGAAGTGTATGTGCCTTGAGGTGTCCCTGCCTGGCCTCGCCCTCTGGGCACGGGCAGGGGGATGGAGGATGCCTGGCCTGGGGGCTGCCGGGTTTGTGCGGTGCCAGGGTGGGGCTGGGCCCTCCGCTGTGCCCACCGTGGGCGGCGTGCGTGAGGGTCGTGGAGCCTGTCCTGGGCGGCTGTCCGTGTTTGTGTCATGAACCGCCGCAGTAAACGTGGGCAAGCCACACCTGTGTCCTGCTGCCTCCTTGGGCTGTCAGCCTGTCTCCGTGGGGCCCCCTTTACGTCCCCATTGGCGTACCCCACTCTGTCCCGTCCAGTCTGAGGCTGCAAGGCCACAGGGTCCCACGAGGGGGCGCCCAATGCCAGCCAGCGGGGAAGGCCTTGCTTCTGCCACCTGCAGGCTGCAGCCCACCAGTTTTTACTGACCAGAATGCTGGGTGTGGCCAGCCTGAACCCCCACCCAGCCGCTGGGACCACAGCTTCTGAGTCTCTCCAGCCAGGGTCTGTCCCCACGGGTGACAAGGCTGCAGGAATGGCCAGCACTGCCTCCCCTGGCCATGTCATGACCTGCTCTTGCCTGCACCATCGCCTCTGCAGCTCCCCGCTGCCCTGTGAATCCTGCTTTTAATCAGGAGGAGACAGTGGCCCTGTGGTCCCATCCCTCGGCCACTTTTCCTGCCATCATCTGGATGTGGCGTGGGCCCAGGGTACACCTGGCTATAGGGACGGAGCTGAGATGTTGTTCTCAAATGCAAGCGCTTTACATGGAGCTATAAGCTATGGTAGAAGCACTTTTGGGGCGGGTACTGGGAATCGAACTTGGGCCCTTGCGCTTGTGAGGCAGACAGCGGAACCACTGAGCTAAATCCCTGGTCCCTGAGGTGTCGCTCTCGAAGCCCCATCCCTGTGTGGTGGGAGAGGCCATCGCTCCCGCTGACTGCTCCAGCCTGAAATGGTGGCATGGCTGGTCACGGGCCTTCCACCGGCTCACAGGTCCCATGAGGTTGGCCCCTGTGCAGCCCAAAGCTAGAGACCCAGCGTAGATACACGGCCAGCAGCCCCAAGGTATCCCCTCAAGTCAGGGCCCTGGCTTCCCTTGGGGTCCCTGGTTTACCTGATGGGACGGTGCCCACACACAGGAGGCGGTCAGGTCTGAGGGGCCCAAGTCACCCTGAGTGTTCTCACTGGAGCACAGCACTGCCAGGTGGCCTGGGTCGGGTCTGCCAGCCAAGGTGGGACCCTGGCAGGAACCCTTGTTGACGGGAGAGCCCCCAGGGTGTGGGCGGCCTGGCAGGTCTCCAGGAAATGTCATTTATGACAGTTTCTAAAGACTCCTGGGCTGCACTTGCTGTATGGGTTTTAGTACCATGTTGGCTCTAGGCTGGAGTAGTGACCACATGACAGCCCCTACCTAGGGAGGCACTGCTGGGAAAGGGGGTCCCGGCTCCCCCCTGACGGCAGCCTCTTGGTCCCTGTCCAGGGCCCAGCCCGGGTGGCTGCAGCAGGTGTCCCAGGTGTGGCCCCAGGTTGTCCCAACCCAGCGTGGCTGTAGGACAGCTGGTGTCCTCCAGACCTCATTCTGTGCCTCCTACACCCAGGTGCTCCAGGGACCCCTGTGCTGCCCCAGGGTTGCCTCTGTGGCCGGGACTGTGGGTCCCCAGTGCCCGGTACAGAGTGAGGCCTCCAACTGGGACCGTGCCTCAGGAGGGCCCTGGATAGGAGATGGCGCACTGGTGCTCTCACAAGTAGAAGCATTATTTACACGAACAGGTTCACCAGGCACCAGAGAACCCCCGAGGGGCAGAGTCCAAGGGCAGGAAAGGGGCTCCCTGGGCACACCTCAGCCTCCAGGTGCAGGGCCTCTCAGCAGCCATGTGGAGGGTTCGGCTGCACACACCCAGGTCCCAGGTCCTGGCGGGCAGGCGGGGTAGAGGTGGGGCATCCCCTGCAAGGGGCACGCAGGTCTGGTTTTCCGACCAGCTCCCAGCTCTTCAGGGAGAACAGCAGCCACCCTGGTGGGGTCTCCTGCTGGGCTCGCCGTTCAGAGCACGTGTCTTCCTTCTCCTCCCTGCTTACCGCCCTCTGCCAGTCCTTGTGGAGACCTTAGGCACCGGTGCACAGAGCCGACCGTGGCCTCTGCTCTCGTCCTGCGTTGCTCATGTGGTTCTGCATGAGGCCGGTCAGCGCGTCCCAGTAAATTACTCTTGAGGCAATCTCATTCCGAGATCTTCAGAAGAAGTTTCTGAAGATGAAGGCTAGCTCTGTCCACTGCTGCGGGAGAGGCTCAGCCCTGAGGGTCCCGTGACCTTGGACGCCGTGGGGCTGTGGGCACAAGGGACCCACACCCGAGCCTGGCTCTCGCCTGGCCCTCATCTGGAGCCTCTTCCCAGGGCGTCAGTGTTGCTCTTATGTTTGCTTTCATGGAAGCTCCGTGAGCAAACTGCCCGTCCCTCTCCTCACAGCCAGAGCCCTGTTCCCCCGTTCCCACAGTGGGTCTGCTGCATGGGCCGTGGTACTTCCTCAGGCCGCTCACAGGCACCTCTGCTTTTTCTTACAATGCTGCATAGGTCAGAAGCTGGCCCTGTGCGCTGAGTGTAGACCCCAGGCCCTGCGGGATCTCTCCCAGCAGCTTTCCGGAAGGCTGTGCCTCCAGGCGTCCGGTGGGCTGTCAGGAAGCTGCAGGCGCTTACCCTTTCCCTCCGCAGGGCAGGCAGAGCTGGCGCGCAGAGCCGGCGCGGCCTCACAGCCTGTGGGTGGCGTGCAGGTCATAGTCGCTGTCCGAGGAGTTGTCAGGTTGCGCGGCTGAGAGGCGCAGGGCCCCCTCCAGAGCTGGGAGGGCGAGGTGGAGTTGGGGAGGTGGCGGAGCCGGCCCAGGTCAGCGATCAATCGCAGGCCTGGCTCCTGTTCTGGTCAAGTTGGCCACACGAGGCCAGTGATGCTGGGTTGTGCTCCCTGGCTGGGCTCCCACAGGACACTGATGGCCTGAACTGGCCCAGGGCCCGTGGGAAGCAGGCCGTCAGCCACAGCGGGTGAGCTTGGGTGAGGGAGCAGTCTGGGGTGCCGGGTGAGGGCTCTTGCCGCACCCTCACTAGGACCTGAGTACAGTGGACAGAGGCTCCTCCCCGCCTCCCCTCCCAGCCGGGCGCCCACCCTGCTCACCTGGGTAGGCAGACAGGCGCGAGTTCCGCGGTGGCTGGCTGTACTCGTTGTCCGCGTGCTCCCTGGGGTGGTTCTCAGGCTGGGCCCGCACGGTGGCCGTGGGGTTGCGGTGGAAAGACACTGCGCACGAGTGGAGGGCAGTCGGGCCTGGCCCTCCTCCCACCCCAGGAGCCTGTGTCCCTGTCCCATTCTGTCCTGCCAGAGAGGCAGGGTGACACCAGCCCTGCGTGTGTCACCACCCTGGGAGGTCAAGCCCGCGGGGTCACGGAGTGGGCTCCAGTGAGGGACCATTGCCTTCCCCGGGCGGAGGGCCTGTTTGTCCCAAGTGGCCAGCCGCTCGGACCCGGCCCTGCCCCAGGAGAGCCAGCGGAGCACTGCCCGGCCTCCTCGGAGGTGGTGCGGCTCCACAGGTGTGGGCAGGTGAGAAGCTGAGCCAAGGTGAGCCCGGCCTGTGCAGTCACGGGGCCCCTCGTGTGGGTCACGGGGTGCAGAGGTGAGGGAGTGGGCGGGAGCCTCAGCCCCGGACACTGGGCCTCGCTCACACCCCAGGGCGCCGTCTGTGGCCCCCGGGACACTCACTGGTCTGGCTCATCCCGGTCGGGCCGATCCACTGCCGCTGCTTCTTCTGGCGGACTGGGCGAGAGAGAGGGGGTGGTGAGGGCGAGTGTGTGCGTGTGTGTGCGTATGCACGTGTGCACGCGTGTGCCAGTGGGTGGCCGAGGGGAGGCCAGGGGCCCCGGCTGTCTGGTTGGTAGGGGCCGGGCCGAGGAGGCCTCTGGAGATGTGCTGTGCTGGCCGGAGTGAGCTAGCACCGCCCACCCGGCCTTGCGCCCTTGTCCCGGTGCCACTTCCTGTCGCTGAGCTCTGTGGTCATGAGGTGTGCAGTGTCCTCTCGGTGCGTGGGGAAACTGAGGCTCCGGGGCAGGGAGCGGCTGGTTTCGGGCCCAGCCATGTCGTCAGAGGCCACGCCGATGACCACGTTGGACAGCGGACCCTCCCGACCTCCATCACTCTGGGAGGAAGGCGGAGTGGCGGGGGCTTGAGCACCCACCTCTCTTCAGCAGCTTCCTGTAGGCCAGGGGGCCGCACACCACCAGCAGCACAGCCAGGAGCACCACAGCTAGGACGATGCTCCCCACGCTTCCCGCAGCCGGGCC